GCAGGTTTTCAAATGGAGGACGGAGGTCAGGGTTAAAATTCCAGCACCGTTTCATTATATCATGCCTGAAATTAAACAATGGTTGTCGATTCTCAACTACGTTTTTCGGACTGTGCAAAGAATTGCAATAAGTTTATTCTACAACAACCCTCTTAACGAAAATAATGCTTTAGGTTCGTTTTGGGTCATCGAACATATCTGCACTATTTCACTCGCTCTGATCTCGTCGAAGTACGTAGACATGCATTATCACAGCTGAATACTTTATGCTCTTAGTTCACACTTTTAAAAGAAAACGGCTTTTATATTTATCGTTTAATTATTCCATTGCAAAGAATTCTACACGAAGAACGTTAATTGTGATGTGTTGAATTTTAGGCTATACATGGGAACACGTCAATATCGCACCAGAGAGGTACAACTCACTGTTTTTTATCAACATGATCAGGTTTTGGCATCTGATATCCTTTTGTGACCTCTGCAAACACCCTACCTTTTAACCATCCATCGTATGGAATTCCTCCTGTCAAGGCATAAGGACGTGTGCATGTGATATTACTGAATATATCACTGATAAAATTGTTGAAATTGTAGGTAGAGAGCTATAGTTTTAATAATTTATAATATTACAGTTGTAAACACGTATCAGGGCAAATAATAAGAGTGCATATAAACATGTTCCACGAAACTGCTCTGGCTGAGATCTAGACGGCGTATTCCTTTTCGACATCATTTTAAACAAGAAATCTGCACCTACATAGCTTGATGATTCAGTTGCCCAAATGTAAATTCTCCTTAATCATGCATGTGCATTTACATAGCTTGATGATGCTCAAATAAAAGTTTTCCTGAGTCAGAGAAGTCTTCTACTTCTTGTTTCATTTCATCATAAGACTAACTACTGATAAATAGCCTGCTACATATTAAATGAAAACAGGGTTAATGAGATTTGATTTTCAGGTGTAAAAAGCAGATCTTGACTTAACACGGGATAGTCCTAAAAGCGACAACTGTCTTACTAAATACTCGGAGGTTATACAGTTCGACCGGAACTTACTATCAGGGTTTATTTTTACAAGAGAAGTTAGACTGCTTGATCAGTCTTACAAGACTGGGACACTAGTCAATTAACTAAAGCAAGAGAATGTGAACCATCTATATTATCTTGTTTAAGGACATTTCCAGGAATGAAAGGCTTGTAAAAAAGTAAAAACAAACCTTCATTATATATATTCTTATTGAACTTGGTTTGGCTTACCAAGGGTAACTATTTCATACAGAACGATTTCATAGGACCACCTGATGAACATATCAGATATGTTCCACAGTTAGTGCCGAGTTAATTTTGAATGTGAAGTAATAACCAAAAAAAAATCAAATTGGGTGATCATTTTGTTGAGGTCATGAAATAATATACACGATACATACACATCGCTCAAAGTGGAAAGTCCAGCGAGATTTCCCAGCAGAATTTCTGGTGCAGTCCATTTGATTGGCAAACATCCCTGAGGAAACAAACATTAAAATTTCTGTTGAAATCAGTATCATCAGATTGTTATTTGCTTTGTATGGATTTTTGTTTTTGTTTGTTTGTTTTGTTTTGTTTTGTCTTTTCGCTTACGCGGGTAATCTTTTAGAGGACAGGTAGCTCGCAGACCAGACTGAAATCAAGATTGTCGGAACAGCAAGAAGATGATTTGTTCCGAAAAATGAACGTAGTTTCCACGAAGTAAAACTCTACAACAGCAATTTAGAAAGCTTCTTACAACTTCTGATTGTAAGAACACCTGATTGTAAGAACCCCTGACTGTAAGACCCCTGATTGTAAGAACCCCTGATTTTAGAACCCCTGACTGTAAGACCCCTGGTTGTAAGAACCCCTGATTGTAAGAACCCCTGATTGTAAGTACCCCTGACTGTAAGACCCCCGATTGTAAAAACCACTGATTGTAAGAACCCCTGTTTGTAAGACCCCTGATTGTAAGAACCCCTGTTTTTAAGAACCGCTGACTGTAAGACCCCTGATTGTAAGAACCCCTGATTGTAAGAACCCCTGACTGTAAGACCCCTGATTGTAAGAACCCATGATTTTAGAACCCCTGATTGTAAGAACCCCCGATTGTAAGAACCCCTGTTTGTAGGAACCCCTGATAGTAGGAGCCCCTAAATGTAAGAGCCCCTGATTGTAAGAACCCCTGAATATAAGAACCCCTGAGTAAGAACCCCTGATTTTAAGACCCCTCATTGTAAGAGCCCCTGACTGTAAGACCCATGATTTTAAGAACCCCTGATTTTCAGACCCCTCATGTTAAGAGCCCCTGATTTTAAGACCTTTGATTGTAAGAACCCCCGATTGTAAGAGCCCCTGACTTTACTGAGACCCCTGATTGTAAGAACCCCTGATTGTAAGAACCCCTGACTGTAAGACCCCTGATTGTAAGAACCCCTGATTTTAGAACCCCTGATTGTAAGAACCCCCGATTGTAAGAACCCCTGAATTGTAAGACCCCTGATTTTAAGAGCCCCTGATTTTAAGAACCCCTGATTGTAAGAACCCCTGACTGTAAGAGCCCCTGATTTTAAGACCCCTGACTGTAAAACTAGCTGGTAGCCGATAAAGCGAGAGGTTGTGAGCTGATTTCCTACAGTACACAGCATTTATTCTTTTTTTTTTCTCTTATCAACGGATATATCTGTACATAAAAGAAATATATGGAAAGACAAAATTTGCCTTTCTTATGCTTGCATTTAAAAAATCACGTGGAGCGAATAAGTCATCCGAGAATTCGTAGAGAGCTTCGACAGATTTCGAATTTAACTTTGTTTAACTTTGGAATGATGTTAATTCTTGTGTTACTGTCGATTTCACTACGAAAATACTACTTTTCAAGTTTGGCCAGTGCTTCGCTTTATCGTAAATTGAAAATCAAAATTACTGAAATGAAAATTGCTTATATAAACTTTTCATAACGGCCGGCAGTATAATAACACCTTTATTTAGACACGATAATGTTTAAAGCTGAGCAGCTTGTGGGGTCGTGTGCACATGCAAATAAACTCTAAATTAAATAAACTCAAATTTATTTCAGTTGTTTGGCTGGATTAACAGGAAGGGGGGTATTGTAGTTGTGAGAACCAATATTAATGATCAGAAATGAGTGAATGGATAATATCAACTATTAACTGAGGGAGTTTGAGCCTCTATTGTTTGGATGATCACTGAGCAAACCTCTCGAAATCAGTTTTGCTTTAAAGACCCTCAACAGTGTATGAAAGAAGAAGTTATTAAGGCCACCATTACATATCGACGAAAAGAACTTTTCTTTCATTTCATTGCATGCGCATAGTTGTTTATAATCTTGTTGATACTGAAATCAAAATGTTGTGAAAACTGCCAACGGTAGTTCCTTTTGGGCAACCCTAAAACCCGGAATCCGGAATTCTTTAAATAAGTTGTGAAAACCTATCTATTGCCAGAAAAGAAATGAATGGATACAATAAACAGTTAATTTAGAGAGTGCGAGTCTTTATTTGTACCATCATTGAGCTAACCCATCCGTTTTGCTTTCAACAAATGATTTCTTACTTTGTGTCACATTGGCAATAATCATGACCTCCCGTTTAATTCAGTTAATTAAGTTGCGAGACTCACTTATAGTTTATTATTATACAATGAGAGATGTTGAATACACTTATATTTGCCTAGTGCTGAACCTGGACCTCATTCACTTTTATTATTATTTGTATTGACAGCATCAAAAGACATGCAAATAGACAAACTATTGATAATATATCTCATACCTTTTTTGAAGAAAAAACAACATCAAGGAAGGGAAATGAAGTTTAATTTGAATAAAACCCATCCACAACTTGTATCACAACTTAAATAGTTGTATTGCTTATAAAAATATGAATTACAATATGGGTAATACATAATAACTTATTAAGAACAAATCACTAAAAATTAAATAGAAATGAAAATTTATGGATTAAGTTCAACAATTGAGATTTTACTACAAAAATACAAATTATTAATTCTTGAAAGTCTGCAAAAAAAAAAGAAAATACATTTTAATCAAATAAATTCTTCAAAAGATCTGCACTTTTTACCTCATTTTCTAAGTCCTGAGGTCTTTGGGCCTGTGATTGAATTTAGAATACATGGAAATGGACATGCCAAGATTTAGAAATTCATTTGGAAGTAATATATCTGTTAATGAACCATGTTGATATTCTGCTCATGTAAGGTTAAAAAATCTTTAAAAATATACAACAAAGTAACTTAAACTTACTCTTTCCTCTGCTTGTGGTTTGCTCTTGGCCCTGTCTAAAGCCTCTTGAAAAAGTGGAATTCATAATAAAGTATATGTAATTCAAAGCACCACTTTATAAAATACATTTCAAATAAAGCCAACGATTGTATTTCCAGTTTCTTCATTCTTGTTTTTATATTAATTTTTCTTTTCTACAAAAAGAAAAAAAACTACGTCATGATTTCTTTCTATTAGCTGTTTACATCAATAAAGCTACATTTGTTTCCTAGTTCATATAGTGATATCTTTGTGGTGTCTGATTGGTTTATCCAGAAAGCCAACAATGGTATTTTCAGTTAATTTCCTCCTTATTGTTTGTATTTTTAAATTTTCCTCTTCTACCAAAAAGATATACACCATGAATTCTTTCTATAAGCAGTTTACATTTCTTTTTCTAATGTACATGCATTGGCATTTTTGTGTTGTTTGTGTGGTATACGCAGATTTAACTGTCTTTGGTACACTATTTTGAATCTACAGTGTATTTAATGGTTGCCAATTTATCTGTGATCTACCAAACTTACAGAAGCTTGCAATTCAATTTCCTGCTGTAATCTTATAGCTCTGTCCCTTTCCAAGAGGTCCCTGTAAATTCAAATTAATGTAGTTTGAGTTAGAAAACTTAAACCATTATGGTTATCATGAGATCAACCTGAACAATAATTAGTTATAGTACACTGCAACATTAATCTGTGAGCCTTTAGAGCATTTGAAGCCTCCTTGCCTTAGTGTATTGCTTCTACCAACTCTCTTGTAAGGCTACTTTCATTTCCTTAGAGACATAGTCATCCATACCATTAATACACAACGAGATATATATCAGTGTTAAATTGCATAATTTAACAGAACATCATGCACTTGAATTTTTTTTCATTTCTTGGTTTGTTTGTTTGTGAATGTTTTTTAAAACTCCCAAATCAGAAGAAAATCAGGAGATTTGAGATTTTTGTAAATTATGATTATCAGCTACAAGATTACCATGTATGGGATACCTTTGATAGGTTAAAATTTGAGCAACAAACTGGAAGCTCAGATGCCTGCGCTGACCTGCTATCAAACTTCCAACTATCATCCTGTTGGAAGTTAACGTGGGGTGCATCACCCTGATCTCCACATCTTCACTTGATTGTAGAGATTGTTAATGTTTCCCACAAGCTATGCAAATAAGACAGTCAATTCATTACATTACTGAGGACATGACAATGTCTCTTTTGGATGGTTCTGTTCAAAACATATTACTTTTGCATGCATTTTTGTTGAACAACTAATTTGTGTTTGTTTCCTAAAAAAATAAATCCTTCTGTTACAACACT